TATAATGGTGATTGTTCACTAACAACAATAAAAAAATAAAAAATAAAGAGATTAATATTTTAATTTAATTTACCCCATATTCGTATCAAGATGCATATTTTCTTTTACGAATAAAAAAAAAAAGAAAAAGAAGGTTAATGTAATGAAGAAAAAGGAAACTTTCGAAGGAGGTATATATATATATATAGGGTATAGGGTGATAGCCTCTTCTTTTGTAATGTATTCGATACAAAAATAAACAATGCTTCAGGCAAGTAAGAACAGAAAGAAAAAGACAGAGAGAAAGAGAGAAAGAAATTCAATCTCAAGTAAACTGAACTATGCAATCATTCCATAGTTTATTTTCGACATACATTTCGTTTTTGGAAGAATAATGAACGCTAAATGAACTTTGAAACTGATGACATCTATTGATTCGTTGTATTTTTTATATATATGAAAATTAATTAAGAAAAATATTAAATAAAAAGATCTTGTATTAAATATGTAAAGTTATTGCATCATAAATAAAATAAAAAACGAACAGAAGTTAATTAGATATTAAAATATGTGCTTCACATCACCTTTCTTTTAGTCAAAATACATGCAATATACAGAATATTGAACAAGCATGATTCTCTTGTTTTTTAAAAATTTCGATGATTTGGAATCTTAATTAAGAAATCGAAAACATCTCATCTTGCGCTCAGAATCTTTACTCTATTTTGATAAAAATCATGTTTCAAAACTTTTGACTAAAGATCACAAAGCTGTTTTTAAGAATCTTGGTTTTTCCATATAATCTTAAATTTAGCTGAAGTCTTTGAATCTATCAATCCTGATTGAGGGTACACAAATATTTTTTTTTCAGATTCTTGTTAAACATTACCATCGAGAAGAAACCTTAAAAATACAACTGCTTTTAAGTTTTCCTTTCAACTAGATACTAAAAGGTTTACATATTATTTTGACATAAACCTGACCGAAGGTCGAGTAACAAAAAAACATGTTTTAGTCTATTAATAATAATATATGAAAGACTTCCCTGCCAACATATTTGAAGCCATGATTGTAGGAAAAGATGTTGGCCGGACATTCACGAACCCATTGACGTAAACACATTCAGATATTGTGTCAAGAGCGTTTAGTGCTTGTTTGGACTGAAGTGCAACATATAAAAAAAACTAAATGTACTTGAAAGAAAACATGAACGAGAATGCATAGTATATCATCGATACGATAGCAGAACAAAAAACAAAATGACAACGTCAGATTCGAATGTGATCAAGCATTGGAAGGCATAACTCGAATGCACGTGAACATAAAAATGTCGAAGTCGTTTCAAAATATAGTGCGCGCCACTGTTTTTTAAATAACTCGAGAATGCAACGAGCTAGAGATCTGCGGTTTTCACCAATCGATAGATGAGACAGGGGGGCGTCTTTTTCTGAGACAATGTGTCAGGTGAAATCCTTTTAAAACTAGTCATCTCTAAAGAACATGGAAAAGAGTTCATGAAAATGACCTGGTATCCATATGAAGTTTTGATTTTGACCTATGATTTAGATAGAGGAACTTGAGATCTATAGTTTAAGATAGAATGTACTTTCTTACTTTTTCCTTACGTTTTCATCGAAATGTCCAGCTATTATGATAAAAATGCAAAAACATAGTAAAAAATCAGGTAAAATTGCCTATTATTTGCGCATGTAAATACATGGTTCCATTTGGTCAACGTTAGAATGCAAGAAGAAAAGTATTTGCATTGTATCTTGAACTATACATCTCAAGTTCCTCTATCTAAATCAAAGGTCAAAATCAAAATTTCATCTGGATGACAGGTCATTTTCATGAACTCTTTTCCATGTTCTTTAGAGATGACTAGTTTTAAAAGGATTTCGCCTGACACATTATCTTAGAAAAAGACGTCCCCTTGTCTCATCTATCGATTGGTGAAAACCACAGATCTTCAGCGAATTATTTTCTAGTTGATTTCAGAAATTAGAAAATGATCTACAAACGATGAAAAGAAACTACAAATTGATTCTATATAGATTAATGAATAAATCTTTAGATATGGAGAATTTCATCGTGAAAATAATCAGAATTTTAGTCAACAACTGAGGTAGTTTCAAAGGTAGGTCTTAAAATATTTCTTGGCATATTTCTATACACTCAGAAATAATTTATTGTCATTTAGTGAGAGATTTACTTTTTTTTCGAAAATCTATACATATTTCTGACTTTCACGAAAAAGTTTACATTCAAAAAATTAGTCTTTAGATTTACTCTAAAAAAAAACAAAAAGGTTTCTTACGCCCTCTATATAACGTCCTCTTGTCATTCGTTATCTTATGTTCCACCAATCGAAAAGCATTACATTGGTACATTGAAAAAAAACTTATGCATTTTTCTTCTAGAAGAATTCATAATTTCATTTGATTTTAGATTATATATTTAACGTATAGAAAATATTGTTAAATATTTATATTTTGTCATAATGTCTGCTGTACCAGTCGCTGAAAGAAATCAAGATGCAACAATATATGTTGGTGGTCTTGATGAACGTGTTAATGAATCTATTCTTTGGGAATTATTCGTTCAAGCTGGTCCTGTTGGTAAGTTTCTAATATATACAAAAAGAAAAAGAAAAGAATCTTATTTTATATTTAATAGTAAATGTTCATCAACCAAAAGATCGTGTAACAATCAATCATCAAGGTTATGGTTTTGTTGAATTTTTAACTGAAGAAGATGCAGATTATGCTATTAAAATAATGAATATGATTAAACTCTATGGTAAACCAATACGTGTTAATAAAGTAAAAAATAAATAATTTCTTTTGAATTTTATGTTTTTTTTTGTTTTTTTAGGCATCAGCACATCAAAAAAATCTTGATGTTGGTGCAAATTTATTTATTGGTAATCTTGATCCAGAAGTTGATGAAAAATTATTATATGATACATTTTCAGCATTTGGTGTTATTTTACAAACACCAAAAGTAAATTTTTTTATTTTCACAAAATTTATTAAAACAAATGATTTTTTTTAGATTATGCGTGATCCTGATTCTGGCAATTCAAAAGGTTATGCTTTTATTAATTTTGCTAATTTTGATGGATCTGATACAGCATTAGAAGCTATGAATGGTCAATATTTATGTAATCGTCCTATAACAGTTTCATATGCATTTAAAAAAGATTCAAAAGGTGAACGACATGGTTCAGCTGCTGAACGTTTACTTGCTGCTCAAAATCCATTATCACATTCAGATAAACCACATACATTGTTCGTATATTATTAAAATTAAATTTTATTTATTTAAAAATAAATTTTTCTTTCACTTTTTTTTTTAGATTTGCTGATCAACCACAATTTGCACCAGCACCACCTGTACCACCACCAGTTAATCCATTTCCAATTGCATCATGGTTACCATATGGTGCACTCGGTGGTCTACCTATTCCACCTGGTTTACCTGGTCTTCCACCTCCACCACCACCATTTGCAATGGTATGTTGATTTGATATAAAGTGTTTACAATGTGAGATGAAGCATTTTTTTAAATAGAACAGTGAATAATATGTAGAAAGATAAAAAATAAAATAAAACAATAGGAATATTTAAAAGAAAAATCAGAGTTAAGAGACGAATAACAGTTTGTAACTGCTAATTTCGCTATATCTTATAATATAATAGTGTTAGATTTGTTTTTTTTTATCCATAAAAGAAAATATTGATTTTTAATATGAATATTTATTTATTAGCAAATGCCACGTCCACCATTAGCTCCAACACCAACAGCAGCAGCTCCATTTGTAAGTTTTTATTTTATTTAATAAAATAAAAAGTTCTAATTAATTTTCTATTTTAGCGACCACCTCCACCTCCACCACCAAATCGACCACCACCACCTCCACCACCAATGATGCAATAAAACATTTTGTTTTTTTTTTCATTCGTTATGTATTGAAATAAATGTTCTTTTTCTTTGTTTGTCTGTCTAATTTTTTTTTGGTCTCAAAATAAAAAAACGAATGACCTGTGTTTATTTCTCAGAGAAAGAAAAACAAAATTGTTAGTACAATCCTTGCGAAATTATAATATGAAACATGCTGTAGTTGCTGTTGCTCGTCATAGAAATATTTCACCGTGTTAGAAATTCGTTTTATTTTATCCATATAGTAGTACTTCTTTTAAACATATATACTTAGAGTAAAGCAAAAGTTCGTAGAACGGTGTTTAAAGGACCTTATCGGATAAGATAACCTATTCAGAAATGAAAAACCAAATATACCATTTTGTAGAGCTTTTTGAGGTGCGTCGAATGGTATATAGTAAATCCTGTTTTCATAAGACTTTGAAGGAACTAGAGTCAATTTATTGATAGACGACTACACACCCACACTGACAAGATAACCGGAGATGCTACATATATGAGGTTGCAGCCCGTCAAAAACTCTGCAAAATCGTATGTGAGAAAAAATATTTTACAAATACTTTCGACTAATCCCAAGGACCACAAGATTCAGTAACCTATCATACTTAGGTAAGGGTGTGAATATGGGTGCGTAGTCGTCTATTAGTAAATTGTCTCTAGTTCCTTCAAAGTCTTATGAAAACAGGATTTATTATATATCATTCGACGCGCCTCAAAAAGCTCTACAACATGGTATATTTAATATGATATCCGCCTTTTTTATAGAAGCTGAATTCTGATACATTCATATCATATGATTGTAGAAATATAAAAACCATTCTTCTTTTCTTTTGGATCTTTTACAAGTTTATCATTAGCTTCGACTTCATTAGAAGCTTAATATCTGATAAAAATAAAGTTTCTTATTATTTCATCACAAGTGAAACGATCATATTAGATGAAACCCATGATACTATTATGAATAAATTTATAGGCAAAGGAAAATATTTTTAAACCGGAAGTGTAAATGTCTATTCTATATATTTCAAGACTATTTTTAGATCATTTTTGAAAAAAAAAATTTTTTCCTATTGAAGATAATGATTTCTAGTCGATATCGTTTATTATTATTATTAAACAAAACATTTTCTTATGCAAAACAATGTACAATAGCAACAGTTAATAATACATTGGACATACGTATTAATAAAAAACCAATAAAAAAATCTATGTATGCATATAGACGTTTACAAACAACATATTATGATTGGATGGAAGCTGTTAATCGTGTTGATGTTCAACAATCAGAATTTCATCGTCCATTAATTATACGTTCAACTATAAGGCAAATTCTTCGTTATATGCATGATGGTTATATTGATATTGAACAATGGACAACATTTCGTAATTATCTTGTTAAAAAAGATATTGGTGTATCACGTTTATTTGATGGAATATTTTTACATGAATGTATTAATTATCAACGTTTTCTTATGGGTTTATCATATATTAATTATTTAAAACATGAAAATATATCATTAACACCAACAAGTTTAGCTATGTTATTATTATTAGCACGTGAAATTGATATTCGAATTGAATTAAATGAATATTGTTTAGATGAAAAAATTCTATTAGATACATATCAAGAATTTCTTTCATATAAAATTATTCCTGATGTAATGCTTGTTTTACCAATTATAGCTGGTTTAACATTAACAAAAGAATGGAAAGAATCATTAAAATATTTACCTATACTTGATAATGATCTTGATGGTATGCAACAAGCATTAGGTTTTGTTTTAACAGCAGCTGCTAAATTTCATGATTATAAATTTTTTTTTTCTTTACTTGATAATATATCACAAACAGAATCAATTCGTTTATATGAAGAACGTCAACGAATACGAATAAATAATACAAATATAATATTGAATAATAAACAAAAACTTACACTTGATCAACAAATTAAACGACCAATAGCACCAGCACGAATAAAAGAAAGTGATTATTATTTAATAGCTAAAACATCACAAACTTATGAAACATTTACAAATTATTTAACTGGTGATAAAATAAAACAAATTGAAATTTTAATTAAATTACTTGAAAAAACTGCAAGTAATGGTTATATACCACCAATATCTTTTGTAAAATCATTAGAAAAAAAATTAAAAGAGTATGTATTCATATTTAGAATTATGTTATAACAAAAAAATACATAAGAGAGAAAAGTAATTAATTAATAATTATATTGTTAATAGGCGTGTTCCATGAAAAACCTAACTCGATAAGGATACATCTCATTTTCATGCCATCTGGATCTTAAGGGTTTCCGATCATCATCTTTCTTTTGTCTAGCGGACACTTTTGTCCAAAATGCTCGAAAGTAGGTTTTCTAGAAAACTTTGGTTTTTAGACCAATGGTCACCGAAGTTTTTTTGTTTTAACAGCCTATAATGATAGAGCAACAAATTCTCTACAAAATGAGATATTTCCGAGCTCTCTACGACACGTTTTGGCTGAGTTACATTCATTTTAGTGAAAGGGAAAAGCCATTTTTCTGCTATTTCCTCTAAGAAAAAAACGGCTTTTCCCCTCAGTAAAATCTATGTAACTCGGCCAAAAAGTGTCGTAGAGAGCTCGGAGACATCTCTTTTGGTAGAGAATTTGTTGCTCTATCATTATAGGCAGTTAATACAAAAAAAAACTTCCGCTACCATTGGTCCAAAAATCAAGGTTTTCTAGAAAATCTATTTCCGAGCATTTTGGTCAAAAGTGTCCGGCAGACAAAAGAAAGAGCGTGGTCTGAAAGCCTTAAGTTCCAGATAGTGCTAGATTCTGTGAAGACTAAAAAAAGTTAACCTAGACCAACGTTCTCATGGAACACGCCTATTGATAAAAATCATATTTGAACATGATATTTATGTACTCTACGCCCACGATGAATCGGTGATTAAGTATCTTCTTGATTACGGACATTTTTTCTTAATTGAGAGGACAAAACAAATATGTCTGCATTATGAAAACAAACGAAAATCTAATAAAATAATCAGTGTAGATTGTTTGATTTAAGAGAAATAAATACACAGTTTTGTGTAGAAATCAGTAAATGAAAATGTTCTTAAACTGACAAATTACATTCTTCATGCATATGTGCACTTTTTTTTTCCTGCATTATTTTCAAATTTATTTCATTATATTGAAATTCAACTAAAAGCTTAAAAGAATACCATAGTTAATTAAACTCTATGAGAGAGATTACACTCGAAGTTGAACTAAGATTGTCAAATTTAATTGAATGAATTCTTCGATTTTAAAGTTAGTCAGTAGTTCGACAGAGAACGCGAACTACTCTTGTTTATTATCATTAAAAATTATCAAAAGATATCTTCATTTGAAAATATCGAATGTACTAATCTATTAATAATAAAGAGAATAGTTCGATTAAGATTTTGTTTTTCATCCACATTCTTTCAATTACAAAAAAATAAATAAATCATTAGATACTATTTATTCTATTTAATCTAGACTTGATCCAACTAAATATAAGTGTGATTACATTTATTTTTATCCAAAGTATGTCCTGATGTCTCTATTTCAATGTTGTTCTAATTAATAAACTTTTTTATTTCTAGTGGTACATCTCTCGATGGTAAAACAATATTACCATCGATTGAACCAACTGAACATGAATGTCAAATTCTACATTCATATATTCGAAATAATTTTCAATCATTACTTGAAATTCATTGTCCGAAAGTATTACTCTACTAACTTTTATATTAATTATTTATGAAATGAATAATTTATTTTTATAGCTTGCAAATGATTCATCAAAATTATTAAAACATCTTTCTGAACCATTCGATGTTCTTTTTGATTGTCTTCATTATCCAACACTTGAACTTGACTGGCGTATTCGTCATCCATTGTATGTATGTAGAAATCATCTTTTAGTAATACATTAATATTGTACAAAAATTTAGATCAAACGTGTTCTTTATCAAATAGCTGATGAAAAAGGTAAACAATGTTTAGTCATTGCAAAAATTGATCTTGCTGATTATATTGATACACTTCAAATGCCTGCTGATCTTGTATCAGTTATTCGTGTACCTTATGAGTAATGATTTTTCTTTTTTTTTTAATAATTTATATTGTTTTTTTTTTTTGTGTTTGGTTTCCGAAAAGATCAATTAAAAGTCCATTACCATTATTATCAGCATTATATCATAGTCCAACAACATTACTTGCTAGTCCAATTGATCAACGTTCTTATAAAAATTTATTAGGTTTAAATAATATTGATATATTTGATCGATGGATACAATCACATCATTTAGTTCCAATTACTAAACCAGATTTAGTCTATCTTCAAGTAAGAATAAGAAATGAGAATATATATATGGGCTAAATCATTCATTAGCGACGTAACATTGCAAATTTGGAGTATGCATATCTCGGAATTATGAACTAGTTTAGGTGTCGTTTTTGCATGTTGTACGAATCTCTCTTTACTCTAGATGCCATGGAAAAATCAACACTCTAGAGCTTTGTTCAGAGGAATTATTAATGAAAAACTAGCGTTAGCGACGTGACACTAAAAAGGACATAAACTGTCACTTGATATACTTTGGGTTTTAAAAATTTCCAAATGTTGCACAATCGCATACTAGACATGACTCTTAAAGCTACTGAATCTCGGTCTACAATTATTTTGAGCATGTCTAGGTTTTTCAAAAAACAAAATTTATTCAGCGTTAGCGACGTGACTGAGTACGACTTCACTACCTATCAAACACTCTGATAACAAACTGAAAAGTTCGAAATCGATTCCAACGGGCTCATGTCAATGGTAGGAGTCCCTAGAATAATACTAAGACAAACGTTTTCGTTTCAGCTCTGTCTAAAGGCTCTGAAAGGTCGATCTCGCTGAAAATTTTACTATATATGTGGTTCATATCCTAGAACCTATCTTGAAATTTTCAACTTTTTCGTCATTCGGTTATCAAGATATACGCTAATTACTTCTTAATTAATAACCATGTGAAAGAGCAAACAATTTACTCAAAAAATCTATACTGATAGAGAATTGCATTCAAATACAACGGGTGAATGTCCCGTTTTTGCTGATTTAGCCCATATACATATGAAAATTTTGAATTTGTCTAATTTATTTTAGGCTCCATGTTTATATTCAACACGTGTTCATGTAAACAAATCTGAATGGTTAATACCTTATTTTGATGGATCACCATTAACTGAACCTGAAAATGTTCAAACATGGTTTCGTGTTCAAATAAATAATAATTAGAAGATCTTTAAGATATAATGTTTTTATTTTGATTTTTTTTCCAAAATCGTTTGTTTTTTTTTTATTATTTCAGATGTTCTTGCGTTATCATTCTCGTTTATTATTAACTTTATGTCGACAAACTATATCCATATCAAATCACATTCCATTAATATATTATAATAAATCAATGGAAAATCTTCAAATTCGTCATATAAATTTTGATGCACCAATAAAACGAAAACTTCTATTAAGAATGAATACAGTTCTCAATGAAAATGAACATCTTGATGAAAATTCAAATGAATCTGATGCAACTAATATAACTTGTTTAAATAATGAACTTATTCTATCTGAACGTATGGTTAAATTTCCATTTCATTATCGATGTATACTTGAACAACAATTTGCTATATGTCAAGATCGTTGGATATCAAATAATGAATGGCAAGAATTATATAATATTGTTGGAGATGCAACAAAACCATTATTTGCTTCTATAACAATGCTTGTTTGTGTACAATTAAAACATATTGAACGGGGTCGATCATTATTTGAATTTATTCAAAAATATTATCCAGATTTATTAACATCAACAGTAACAACTTATGCAGCTTATATGAATTTATTATCTTTAGATTTTTTTACTTTAACTGAAAAAAAACATGGTCAAGATTATTCATCATATGAAAAAGAATTATGTGATATTTATCAAAAATTTATTAAAGATAAAAAACAGGTGAATAACATTGGTTTTTTTTTGTTCTTATTCAAAAATTATCAAACAACGAACTTTAAGTTTATAGAAATACTTAAAAAAAAAAGTGCTTCGTCTATATTTCTCTTTGAATTCATATGAATTCTTCAATAGACGAAATATCATGCAAGTTCATACTCGCTTAATTTTCACCAACTAAAGTTTTCTATTTGGCAAATAGGGATATGTCAAATGAATTTAAAAAATTGCCTTCTATTCTATTAATTATGAGGAACTGTCTCCGACAAAATCATCCAATCCGCCCCTCAGTTTTCACAACTCTAAACATCCCTGCGGACAAATTTTTAAAAATGCAATTAGAACTAGAACTTAAAGATTATAGTTAGAGCAGCGAACAAAAGTTTCCATCTCAGCCGATCTCGATCATTGTTGTATATGCTGGAAATTTGAAAATTTGTATATACACACGTCACGAAGAATATAGATTATTTGCATTGTGACGCTACTATTATTGGATTACAAAGGTAACTATGATGGATCGCATTAGTGGCGTATCCAGGATTTTTCGGTATGCTGGATTTCAACTTCAGAGCATGGGACCCAGATGAAACTTATAGAGATATGATATTGGGTCCAAATGATGAGTTTTTATCAAAAGATTTTTGTAATGGGAGTTTGCGAAAAAAATTAGCATTTTCCTGAGCCTCATCAAGATTTTTCTTTTTCTATTAGTAGTATTCTGATTTTTAGCATTTAATAGTAAGCTATATCGAAATTCATCGGCAGATTTCAAATTTCACCTAAAAATATGCATCCGTTCACGAGTTACAATGTTTTGAATTTTTTCTAAAATTTTAGCAGCATGCAGCAAATTTTCAAAACATTATAGCTTGTGAACGGATGCATATTTTTAAATGAAATTTGAAATCTGTCGATGAATTTCGATGTAACCTACTATTAAATTCTAAAAATCAGAATACTACTAATAGAAAAAGAAAAATCTTGATGAGGCTCAGGAAAATGCTAATTTTTTTCGCAAACTCCCATTACAAAAATCTTTTGATAAAAACTCATCATTTGGACCCAATATCATATCTCTATAAGTTTCACGTGGGTCCCATGCTCTGAAGTTGAAATCCAGCATACCAAAAAATCCTGGATACGCCATTAGATCGCATTAATGCCCAGAGTACAACATAGATGTCACCAATCATAAATTTCTAATTAAATTAAACCCTATGACTTTAAGAATAAAATTAGCGGAACTAGAGCCGAAAAAAAGCCTCGGTCTCGTACATTTCTATTCAGAAATCAAGACAATTTATTGACTTTGATAGTTATACGCGATTTTTTTTTCAGTCAATCATAGCATCAGCAGCTGCATTAGGAATAATTAAAGGTTTATGTGTAACACGACTTTGGCATGAAGCTTATTCTTATTTACCATTTACTAATGATGATGATCAATTACAAGCAATGACAAAGTTAGTTGTTTGAAAAATTTTTTTTTTTTTGTTTTGAAGAATGAAAAATGTTGAAAAAGAATAGATTTATATTTCTAGTGTTATTCTTGCTGCTTTACATAATGATGATGTTGATACAGCAATAAAATTAGTTAAAAATCTTAAAAATCCACCACCAAATGATAGTGCTGCTGCAACAATATCAAGTTCATTGAATGATATGGTACGAGATATGTTTAGAAATTTAAATGAAAATAATAAAAATGCTTATGAATTTATTCAAAATTTATTTAATTATTTATCTACATTAGATTATTTTATTGAAAAATCAGCTATAGATGAAATGAAAATATTTTTTGCAAAGTAAATTTTTGTTGTTATTAAATATTGAATATTTATTTTTTGTATATAGATATAAACCAAATACATTCAATTATGGTATAACCATTGTATATCCAAGGTAAAACAATAACAATGTTTTTTTTCCGTATATTCTCAAATATTTTTATTTAGTGGTGCTTGCAAACAATTACCTGGTTTAAATTTAGCAAGTGGTGATTTAAGTGATGATGAGTTCAATTTTTTACTTAACTATCTAATGGAAACTGCTTATGCTGCAAAAGAAGTTTATAATGTAAGTCTTTAAAAAAAAATCAGAACTCGATAAGAACATGTGATAATCTTTGATGGCTATAGAATAGAAATAATAATAATAATCAAAGATTTTGTGTGAAGATAAAAAAATATTGTGATTGGATTTTATTTGTCTTTTGAGAATTGAATAGATCTAAAGAAGTTTTAAACAAGAGTATTCAATAAAATCAAATTAATTTGGAATTGAATGCATTGTGGAAATTGTCATGAACTATGAATATCCTAAGAAGAGTTCGAATCTTTAGTTTATTACTACGGGCTTATGGTAGGAATACAGAATTTTTTAACTCAATACTGTGACTTATCTTATGAACGTCAGGAAAATTGATTTTCAAATTCTGACGTTCCCTATAGGGATCATTCCGTTAATTAAAAAACACCCTCTTGCTTCAGTATTCATACAGTAAAAAGTTCAGAATATGAAATCTTTGTCGAGTATTCATAGTTCATTAACGCTTGCACGATTCACATAATCCTGACTAGTGTTCCTTGGATTGACCTCACGTCAGATTCGAAAATGTTGAATCCAACGGACTCTAATCTCATCTGAAAAACGAATCATCAGTTAGAGACCTTCTCTAGTAAAACAAAAGCAAAACAGTATTTTTTGATAGTTTTTCTTTTTTGTATGAAAAGAAATATTAATTTGAATATTTTATTTCAAAGACTACAACACCAGTTGAATTTGAAAAATTGAAATCAGTTCTTGCTCGAAATAAATTTACTATGATTGTTGATGGTTTAAATATACTCTATGGTATTGATCGATTTGCTACTGATCCAGTTAATTCAATGATTAAGGTAAAAAAAGAAAAATCATCATTCATTCAATAACAAATAATATCTTTGATTTTCTTTAGACAATAAATTTTCTTAAAAATTTACGTGTACCTCGAACACAAATGTTATTTATTGCACGTAAACATGCATTATCTCGTATACCATTTGAAATTGAAAAAAATTTACGTTCAATATGTGAAGTTTTTCTAGTTGATAATACGTAAAAAAAAAATATTATTGATTTTAATTTTAAAATAAACAATATTGTTTGTTTTTGTTTTTGTAAATGAATAGTTCTCGTGATGATTGGTTTGTTTTATATGCTGCATTATATTCCAGAGCTTATGTTTTAACATCTGATATATTAAGAAAAGAACGTGGAATAGCAAATAAGTCTACACCAGCAAAAAATACTCAAGTTAATGATAAATTACAAAAATGGCTTTATCGTTATCAATATATGTTTGTTCGACAAGGAAATCGAGTTTATTTTAAAGTAAAATATACATATTTTATTTTATATAATTATTTTAATTTTTGTTTTTTTTTTCCGAAAACTTATTTTCTTTTTAGCAACCAATGGCATATAAATTAAAAGCACAATATACAAAAAATGTATGGTTAATACCATATTTTAATGAAAAACCACTTACATTAGCTCAACGACCTGATAATTGGTTTTTTGTTTATAAAACTGCAGATAATAAACAAACAACAGTCAATACATCAAAAAGACAATCTACGAAAGAAACGGTTATGAATAAACAAGAGAAGAAATTTGTATAAGATTTTATGTTTATTATTTTGAATAACAAATAAACTCTTATATAAAAAAGAATTTTTTAATGTTACAATTGTGCAATAGTTTTTCTTTGTATATAACATTAATCTATGATCTAAGAACTTGTCTATATATAATATTGCTATTAGATGTAAAAGTTGAACTCTTAAATTGACTGAAAATGTTAAGAAAACTCAAAGATGAAGAAAATCATATACTTTCAAATATTTTATGTCAAAGGAAAATAAGAAGTAGATGAGAAGTATAAAACACCAAGCTTTTATTATAGCTGTATCTTAAGATAGAAACAAAGAAAAGATTTGAAAATTTTTACAATAAACTATTTTTGTTATTATTGACAAGTCATAAAAAAGTACATCATAATCTCGACTCAACAACAATTAATCAATTGAAGCGCTAAATTGTAGAGATACAAAATTTTTCCGTAGATAAATAATTCAAGGATGATAGCAACTAATCTATTCATTTGGTACACTTGTCATTTACTCAACACAATAGCGATCAAGTTCTAGCCTTCGAAAATAATCAATATTTGTATTTTTAAATTTATCAAAATACATAACAGCATGTTGAAACTAGAGATGTTCGTTGGGACATTCATTAA